CTGGATGCCTGCATGACCTACACGCACACGCAGGGGATTCGCAACGACTACGCGGACTTCTCTTACGGCATCCTGGATGTGAACAAGGCAGCTGGCCTCTTAACCTTGCTGGAAAACGGCATGCCCAAATTGGATGGCCACTCGGACCTCAACGGCAAGACCATCGTGGATGTCGGTGGCTGGGTGCTGCCCTCAGCCAAGAGCAAAGTATCGCAAAGTGCATGAGAAGGTGCAGGTCAGACTCTGCACTGCCCTTGCTTCATAGGAATGACCATGTTTGTAATCAATCACAAGCTTATGCACGGTTTCGAGACAAGCTCTAGCGTCCAGCCCGTTGCGGGTATGACTTGCGTAGAGGCCCCTGAGGCAGGAACCCGCGTGATCAGACGAGGGTCAGAGCATCTTAGAGCATCAGCGCTCTGAGGCCCCTACGGCAGATGGCTTGGACTTCGTGACGAACAAGTGCCTAAACCAGAAGTACTCGAGCAACTACACATTGGTTGTGGGTAATGGCAACGACGAAGCGATGACGATGCTGCGTAACGGCTCAGCCGACGCGATGTTCGTGTATGCTGACCAAGCCAAGAACTACCAGTGTGATGGAAGCACGGTTGCGGCATGGGATTGCGCGCTGTGGCAAGGCTTCGGCACGGAATATGCCTACGTCCAGACAGGGCAGTTCGGCTACGTCGTCAACGGCACGACCCTGGCGCTGTCCAAGAAAGGGAGTGGAGTACCGGAAGCGATCAACTCCTGCTTGGCAGAAGTCATGGCAACAGAGGCATATTACGATGCTTGCGTGAAGTACGACTTGGTAGATTCCTGCTATGCCAACAGCTTCTTCCCCAGCTCAGGGATCGTAATCCACGAGTACAACAAGGAGACGGACGAGCATGCGGGCGACTGCTCCAGTGGTTATTGCCCGTGCCCCTCGACCACAACTCCAACGACTCAAACTTCGCTTGCGACGGGCTTAAGCATCAAAGCGTTGATGGGTGCCACACTCTCCTTTTTGGTTGCTCTGCTCCTGTAGCCTGACAACAGGCGAGAAGCCGGGACCAGTGTTTTAATTGGGACTCTGTGTTGTGAGGTGGTCCGAGTCGGGATCAAGCTGCAATGTAGGCCATGGCAGGAGCCAAGTACAAAGGACTTTAGAGCTCCTTCCTGCCAGA